AAAGACTTCAACTCAACATAATGCATGGAACGCTAATCATAAAAAAACCCAAGAAACATTCGTGATTCAGCTGTCATCTTCGCATTCAGATTCAGAATCTTCGATGAAAGGAACTATGAAGTCGCAAGCAATTTGTTGCACTTCGCTAGCGTCGACGTAGACTCGCGCCGGAACACTACTTTCATGTCTTCATGAGCCCATCTCGCATATTCTCTCTTATGATGATCCTGAGGTCGCCAATGCGTGTGCATGGCCGCGGCGGAAAGCGTGTGTACCACAAGTATTCGCATCCTCAACACCAACCTCGTTCAGCGTTTTGCGCAACAGACGCAAAAGCTTTCTGTACTTGAACTTTTGAAACAATAGTTCAAACTTATCTTTGGACATCCTTAGGGGAAGTTCTGCCGCCTCAACTGGGCACACCAGAAAATTCCTTCGACAGCAACACGAACGTTTCAACGTCTCGCCTCCGGGCACGTTCTTGCGTTTGCTCAATCGTATCTCGGCGATGTCGTTTCGAATTCGTATATCGAACCTCCTCAATGTCAGAAGTTCAGAGGGGCTCGTAAAAGAAATGCGTAGGCGATGATAGATCCTAGCACCAGCAATTTTCTCTTACAGCTAAGGCCCTTTACGACGAGCTCGTGGAGCAGGGCCGGACCGATACGCGGACGCACTGGCGGAGGGTTGTGCAGGAATCGTCGGAGGCCAGCGGTCGACTCCTGAATCAGCGTCGTATCCCAGTTCTGGTCCAAGCCTAGCCATGTATGCCACTTGCGGAGGTGGGAGCGATAACTCCTCGCTGTATCCGCGTTCCTGAACCCGGATATCCACCATAATACCCATCTTTCGGTCGCTGGTAACACTGGCACTTGGCGCCCATTCGTTAGAACCAGCTTCAAGGCTGCTCCGAAACGCATGTATGAACGGAAGCCAGAGACGTACTGCTTAAAAGATGAAGCGGATATCGAGCGAAACTTCAACGAGAGCGCGTACTCGAACCAGACCCGGTTAGATATCTGATAAATAATTGTCGTTGTATGTTTGGATCAGAAATGACGAACTTGTTATCTTCACGTCGAGCGTGACGGAGATAGTCAGACAGTACTTGAGCTGGTGGTTGATAACGATAAGTTAGCGAAGACTCTAAACATGAGAGCGGCGTCGAAGACGTGGATGATTCAACTTGGGGTTGTGGCTCGGGAGAAGCATCAAGCCTATCCTTCTGACGACGGATTTTCACTCTATGACCAATGGTATCATCATCAACAGTGCAATCCGCACGCTTTCGTACAGGAAAAGCAATGTGCTTCTCGGGTGAGCTCACAGCAGGCTTGGCAAGTATATACTTTTCTCGAAGCTTTTGAATGGCATCGTACAGCTCAGACCGAGTACCAACATCTGCTGGTTTCGTTTGACCCCCAATGTGGGAACAATGTAGCTGACGAGCACCTAGCAAGGTGTCGAGAAGAAGTAGATACTGTTTACAGAATGGTTCTTGTGGTCCCGGAGGAACTCGATGATTCCGACCGAGATTTTCACTCTATGACCAATGGTATCATCATCAAGAGCGCAATCCGCACGCTTTCGAACAGGAAAAGCAATGTGCTTCTCGGGTGAGTTCACAGCAGGCTTGGCAAGTATATACTTTTCTCGAAGGTTTTGAATGGCATCGTGCAGCTCAGACCGAGTACCAACATCTGCTAGGTTCGCTTGACCCCCAATGTGAGAACAATGTAGCTGACGAGCACATAGCAAGGTGTCGAGAAGAAGTAGATACTGTTTACAGAATGGTTCTTGTGGTCCCGGAGGAACTCGATGATTCCGAACGAGACTGACAGCCGTAACACTATAACACTAAGATGTACCGAGGCAAACGTAATACATGCGTCCAGCTCAATGGACCGTAACCGAGAGATCGCTGTATAGACAGCTAACAACTCCAACGTGTTGATGTGGAAGGCCTGCTGTCGGCCAGTTGAAGGCAATTGTCCACGCAGCACGACCTGGTCGTCCTGAAACATCTCATAGGCTAGTAGGGACTCGCTCGCATCAACATAAACGTGAATAGGTTGGTGCGGATCGATATATCGAGATACACTTGTGGGTGGAGTGGAAGGAAGTAGGTCTTGCCAACGCAGCAGGAGCTGATGCACCTCAGAAGCTATGAGATAGTTTTAGGAAGCATCTAGAGTAGATCGGCAACGACTAACAAACCCAGTCAGAGCATTCTTGCAAGGAAGAACGTGAAAGGGTAAGAGATCACTCTCTGGTAGTAGGAGTCCAAGGAAGCCCACCGCGTTACGATAGGTGAGAGGTTCAGTGAGATCCCAGTCAAAAATCTTCTGGACTGTAGCAGGGTTATACCGCAGGAACCTACCCGCGTCGTGGGTCTGAACACCCAAAACATGAACCGGGTCTGTGTCGTTGAGAGACTGCGATGTCAAAGGTTGACCATGCTGTTGATATAGGTCAACCGGAGGCGAATCCACACCGTAATGAAACGTCCTCCAGCGTCTCGCTTTGAGCCGTCAATGAACAGTGGGAAGCACGGAACAAAATGAATCGCTGACCTCCTTTCCCGAATAACCTGTGGCCCGTACGCCACGATCGGGAAAGGGTCAGACGTTAGCTCTGACCAACCCCCAAACCCGCGGCCCGTACGCCGTAGATTGGGTGAGGGTCAGGCTTGTTAGCCGGCACGATCAAGGCTGGGCTGCCATCTTCGACCAAGCCAACTCGGTTTGCGTCGACGATAACATACGAAGAGATTTCATCGGTGAGCAACCTATCCAGACCCCAATGAATCCTTGATTGGTGTGATCCGACGGAATTCCGCCAGCGAACGAGGTCGCATTATCGGTGAGCGACCTATCCGGACCCCAATAAACCCATGATAGGAGCGCCCCGATAAGAACTTCTGCGCTTCCGAAAGACTTCAACTCAACATAATGCATGGAACGCTAATCATAAAAAAACCCAAGAAACATTCGTGATTCAGCTGTCATCTTCGCATTCAGATTCAGAATCTTCGATGAAAGGAACTATGAAGTCGCAAGCAATTTGTTGCACTTCGCTAGCGTCGACGTAGACTCGCGCCGGAACACTACTTTCATGTCTTCATGAGCCCATCTCGCATATTCTCTCTTATGATGATCCTGAGATCGCCAATGCGTGTGCATGGCCGCGGCGGAGAGCGTGTGTACCACAAGTATTCGCATCCTCAACACCAACCTCGTTCAGCGTTTTGCGCAACAGACGCAAAAACTTTCTGTACTTGAACTTTTGAAACAATAGTTCAGACTTATCCTTGGACATCCTTAGGGGAAGTTTTGCCGCCTCAACTGGGCACACCAGAAAATTCCTTTGACAGCAACACGAACGTTTCAACGTCTCGCCTCCGGGAACGTTCTTGCGTTTGCTCAATCGTATCTCGGCGATGTCGTTTCGAATTCGTATATCGAACCTCCTCAATGTCAGAAGTTCAGAAGGGGCTCGTAAAAGAAATGCGTAGGCGATGATAGATCCTAGCACCAGCAATTTTCTCTTACAGCTAAGGCACTTTACGACGAGTTCGTGGAGCATGGCCGGACCGATACGCGGACGCACTGGCGGAGGTTGTGCAGGAATCGTCGGATGCCAGCGGTCGACTCCTGAATCAGCGTCGTATCCTAGTTCTGGTCCAAGCCTAGCCATGTATGCCACTTGCGGAGGTGGGAGAGATAACTCCTCGCTGTATCCGCGTTCCTGAACCCGGATATCCACCATAATACCCATCTTTCGGTCGCTGGTAACACTGGCACTTGGCGCCCATTCGTTAGAACCAGCTTCAAGGCTGCTCCGAAACGCATGTATGAACGGAAGCCAGAGACGTACTGCTTAAAAGATGAGGCGGATATCGAGCGAAACTTCCACGAGAGCGCGTACTCGAACCAGACCCGGTTAGAAAAAGTCGGTCTTAACGAGTCTTGCAATAGCAAGTAACCGGCTGGGAGTCGGCCGACTCCCGCATGACTCCAAAAGATCTATCGTATTATAGGTAATCGATTTAACCGCAGAGATGAGGGACTCGTAGATTTGATGCAGATGACTTGAACGCCCTAGTCGTAAGTCTTCAAGGATATCGAGTATAGCTGACCGACATGACCTGGAGGGAATGCAACGGACTATGGTTCCGTCCACACCGTCAAGCAGCTTCCGTAACTCGGTCAGACCAGCTTTTAAGAAAGAGAGACTAAGTGTCACGAACGTACTGAGGGGTAGGCCGTACGTGCCGTTGCGGACACGGGTCGGCGGCATCACGAGGAGAGCCAAGCTGAACAATGAGCAGGGATCGAATCTCTTTCCCAACGTAAGCTGACGGAATCGGAAACACTCTTAATTCAAAAAAATGCCAGTGCGACGATGAGAGTCAGCAGAAATTAGATTGCAGGAAGTACTGGCCGCTTATGACTAAAGAAAGCAGTGAGACAATCAGTGGCGGGGGCTTGGAGTGTCAGACGGATTGGACTTTGATCCCACTCTAGCCACCCACACCTTGAGCTGAAGTCGAGCAACATTCGCCCAAAAGGAGGAAATCATCTTGTTCATCAGAGGGCAGGAGGAAGATCCCTTGATCGGGGCATACTCTACCGCCGTATTGCCGACGAAGATAGTCGGCCATCTACCAACTATATACTGACCGAGAGATTGTGGTGCGGCAAGAACGGCGTATCATTCGAGTATGTTAATATCGTCTTTTCCTTCGAAGAGACTCTGTTGTAGGATGGAGGAGAGAGCGGATGAGAAGTACACTGGCCTTTTAAAGTCATTGGACACCAAAGCAGCACCGATTTATCCACTGCCGCACGCGTCTGTATAAAGGACCGCACTGATAGCCTCATCCGAGCTAGGAAGAAGAAGCGGCACCTTCCTCGCTGAATTGGAGCTTCCAAAAAAACCAAGAGATTAACAAGAGCATATCTCACCCCCAGCCAGAAGCGATCACGGGCTCTCCATGATCAATGACTGACAAATTTAGGAAGGACTCTGAGGTAGGACCTTGGGGCAGAAGTGTCCAAGGCCCCGCTAGCAAACGTCAACTTCTCTATCAACTTATGAGCCGTTGAAGATGGCAAGCGGTCATCCTGCAACACTCCATCGATCGAAGAAATTAGTTGGGCGCGCTTATCATCTGGAACCGACAGGACAATGTAATCACCATCGATAGCTATGTCGAGCCCCAATACTGGGATCTCAATGAAAGGTGGCACAGCCTTCTTCTCATTTAAACGGAAGTCTATCACCCTGTGAAGCCACACCCATGCCTCATATGCGGAGTTGGCCGTAGCTGAAGATTCTACGCCAAAGTAATCGTCCAAATAATTGATCACTGGGATAGCGAGGACGACTCGACCAAGGTGAGCCAAGGCCTGACTTACTCTACAATAAATGATCACCGAGCTGGAGGCCCCGAAGGCTTGTGCCACGTGATAGAATCCCGAGACCGGGCAGTAGCTACCGCGGCCTCGTGTGTCGGAAGAGATACTTTATTATGGAAGAACATGGTCTTGTTCACTCCAGACCTTTTAAAATCATCGTAAGGCCGTACTTTTGTGCCTTGATCTACTTCGAAGCGACGAGAGGCAACAGAAGACCCACCAAAAATGGATTCTAGCTGTGGGGGACTGAAGGGGTCCATCATCGTGTTCTCAGCAACCTCCTCAGGAGCCTTCTTCCACAGCAGACCATCAAATGGACATGGCTCTCTACTTACAATGTCAGCCAATTCATATGCCTCCTCCACGCCTCCAGTGAGAAGCTCAGTGGCAGACATGACGGTCACTTTCTTAGACTTCTTAGAGTTAACCTTTGGCTTGATCGGTTTAGCCCGAAAGACGTCATTGCGAACATTGAACTTGCCAGTTAACTCCAGGCCTCCGGCTAGCTCCCTAGGTAGTGTATAGTCGGGATAGTTGGAAGCCTTCAGCATACGTCCGAACAGACCCAGGATCAAGGAGACTGTCAGAGGCCTGACTATGTCATCCGAGGGCTCGAATTTAGGTGACAAAGGGGCTTGGTCGCTTCATTATTCCATAACCCTATGCCTATCACGAATCAAATCCTCTGGACCACACTTGAGTAAGCGTTTGTGACAGGACGCACTGGCGAATATCGACGCCGGGAGCCCGGGGGCTTGGGTAAGGGGGTGCTGACATGACAGCGAGGCAGCGATATGCTCAGGCGGACTCAGCTCTTTCAAAGCATCTTGCATACCTTCGTCTCGGAGGGCTCGCGGCTGAGCGCCAGAGCCTATCTTCGAGACCTTCGGTACGAAGTAGAGAGACTTATTAGAGCCCTGATCGTCGGAGGTTTGGAGACAAATCAGGTCTTGCAGTGCCAGGCCCTCGAAGAGCCCTCCTGACAGCGAGGCAGCGATATGCTCAGGCGGACTCAGCTCTTTCAAAGCATCTTGCATACCTTCGTCTCGGAGGGCTCGCGGCTGAACGCCAGAGCCTATCTTCGAGACCTTCGGTACGAAGTAGAGAGACTTATTAGAGCCCTGATCGTCGCAGGTTTGGAGACAAATCAGGTCTTGCAGTGCCAGGCATGCCTCCGAGTCTATCTCCGTTTTCACGGCCACCGTTTCCTGCTCACAGCTTCGTGCGGTAGATGTTTTCGCAGGAAGATGGCACCCTTCGTGCGACGCCGGCTTCTCTTGTAGCGAACGAATCGTGACGGTCACGTCCGCGGATGAACACTGCACAACACAACAATAACTCGAGTGGTCAGGCGAAACGATGACATGACCATAATCTATGGACCGAACGGTCCCATTTCCCAACGAGGCTTCGAGCAAAATCGATCACGCTACGTGATGAGCGAGCCCCATGACCGGGCGTACCCGGCTCATATCCACTTGGAGGCATTTCATCGCGGTGGAAACCAAGTTGCACTTGACTTTCACCTAGCAGTAGCATGTGTGTGGAAGGATAGAATGTCATCCATGTACGAACACTGAGGTGGCGTAGGGAGGTCGTTGAGAGTGTCGGATGAATCCGTGAGGCCCTCAGCCGTGGAGCAAGTTGATGATGGCTGTGTGAGATGATGCAGATCGACGTGGTAGAAGTCAAGAGAGTCCGACGACGGCAGTGGTGGAGTAGAGAGAGGAGTCGGAGGTTGGCGGAGCCCTTCACGGTACGACATTGGTCCCTCAAGCATCGCTGGTGCAATGCTGGAGCCATAAATCATCGAGTGAATTTGTACGACTGATTATTCCATCGTACTTGAAATAGACTCGCTGAAGCCGTAGATACTCTGACCCATGTAAGCATCGCTCACATCGTATAACCTGACATGAGGTGCTAGCCGCAACCGATTTAAACACGTGCGGATTTTCTTCTGTTGGTTGGGAATAGGATCGACCTTCATCAGTTGTCGTGAGAGATTGTTGGTCTCCAAAAGAGGTAGCACCGGACGCCACCGTTTTTGTCCAGATACACCAAAAAAAATTATTCGATAAGCACCCTCTGCAGACGTTGGTATGGGACGCATGTCGCCGTCATGATGACGGCGTCATCCACGAACTTCTGTAACATGTTCGCACAGTCGGCTTTGCCCTCAGGCGGACAGCGAATCCACCGCCTGTGCTGGATCGGACATTTCTTAGGTTGATAGGAAGCGGCGTAGGCGAGAGCAGACTCAGAGATGTGGACCCAAAGGTATTTATGTTTGTCAGTGTTCTCGTTAACCGTAGGCCGTATCCATTTGTTGCACAATATAACGTGAGTGATTCGATGGCCAGTCGGTGGTGCGTGATAGTGAGGTATAGAGGTAAGGTCAGGTAGAGGTAGAGACAGCAGCAGGCGTGGTAGGCGTGGTAGAGACAGCAGCAAAGCGAGGTTGCAAGGGTGGTGTCGCGGACAGAGTAACCGTTGTTAGATAAAGTCCAGCAGAGACGTAACTACCAGTCGTTAGGAGCAATAACCCAGTCTCGGCCAGGCGTAGAATATCACGACCAATGAGACCACTAGAAGGCCCTAGGATAACCTGATGAGTGACGAAAGGTTCCCAATAGATGAGTACCGGCTTCCCGGTGGCGTCGTAATGATCTCCGTCGCTATAGAGTTCGCGATGCGTTTGTATTCAGGGAGTAAACTTAAACGATAGCATCGTTCAAGCTGAGACGGGGCCAGTGATAGACCACATGTTGTTGCTTGAGCTAAGAGAACTTCAAAGCGTTCAAGACAGGCCAGTGGCGCTTCGCTCTGCAACTGACGAAAGGCGGCAAGTCGTTCTTCCAAGCGCCCATGATCATCACTGCCTTGATACTGGGCCATGCACCAAGTAGCAAACTCTTGGTCATGAGGTCGTAATTAGTGGGCCACGAGTCACCCAAACGAGCACGAACATGAGCGCGACCAGCTGACCGCAGTCCCTCAGCGAGAGCAGACGTAAGGTACAACCAAGTTGATACTGAACAGACTCCGCTTGTAGACAAATGAGGAACCAAGTGATAGAACGTTTGAGGACATGCTCAGCGTAGGGGGGTCGCGTCAGAAACAGGTATCGACTTGACACTGGTAAGAGATTGGACACGTTTACCCACGCCAAGAGGAGTGGCAGAAGCGGTAGTAGTCGAACGGTAACCCCAGTGACTCGTAACCAAAGTAGAGTGAGCGTCACAGGTCGTAAACGAGGTAGAAGGGAAAGAAGGGGCAGGGGGCCGTCGCGTGGCTGTCCTGCAAGCGTTATCATGGAGGGCGCGATACTGGGCTTTGGTCGCAATGGGGAATTCGACCTGGGAGCTTAGGACGACCTCGAGCTCACCAGCGAGGACAAGAGGTAGATGGTCAGCAGACGAGAGACCAGGAAGAGCGAGGAGGTTTTCCACAAGGTTGTCTTTCATGTAGACGGTTAACACAAGAAGATGTGAGTGTTACAACGTAATTAACTTCCATGGACATGCACGATTCATGCAGATTGCATGAAGGCGAACGAGATATGAATCACAAGACGAGCGAGATATGAGTATATCACAACAAACACGTTCAGAATCTATTCTGGAACTCTTTCCAGAATGTATTAGGGGGGCTGTTACTAAACGCGGTTTTGGTGTTTTGCATTCTGGAATGTGTTATGAATTTCGGAATGGGTTCTCTGAACACCCCGATAATACTAAAAAAGTTGTAATCCATTAATATGGCGAACGACATATACATACCCCTGTTGATCAACTTATTAGTCGCAGCTTACTCTAGCTATCTTGTGCTATCTTGCTCAACTTAGTATAAATGTGTACGTAAGCACATAGCGAACATGGATGAAGTACGATGTTCCGAGAACTGGACGCAGTAGAGACAGGCATGACACTCCAACGTATCGCCACAACATGAACAACTTTGGCATGCTGTTACGCAGTTGTGAGGCATCAGTCGAGATTATGAGCTCGGTTTCTTTTCTCAAGCCGTACGGATGTACGATGAGATGAGGGGATTTTGATCGAAATTGGACCTGGAAGGAAATGGGTCAAGTTAGCGTTATGAATTCCGAGCATAGATGTTGGAAGTTAATATCTGCGGTAAGGGGGGAGTCAAATCGACCACCAAATCTTCCATAGTGGGATCCAGTATTCTCGATGGTGCCGAATCGCCGAATAGTAGTCTACACGACAGGTTCCACGTTATAGAATGAATAAAAATGGTATGCTTGGAGGGAAGGAGCACATTGGGCGAATTAGGTATCGTCGATACCGTATCGACAATCAGATAGAAATAGTTGAGGAAAGCACCACGATATGTTGGAAGGAATGCGAACGCGCAGGATATCGCGCGAAAAACGTTTTTGAAATTACCCGGGTTTGATAGGTATTGAGCGGGAGTGCTCGTTGGGAATGAAGGAGTAGAGACTATACAGAAAGGAAGAGATTATGAAGAGGAGCAGAATGATAGGTACACTGCCGTATTAGACTGTGATGTAGGAACAACAGGAGCGCTTGGAAATTGGGCGTTTGACTTTAAATTTGAGAAGCGTTTCTAGAAACGATCCTGGGATTTTCTGTTCATAGAACCAGCTCTGGAAACGATCTCAGAAACGTTTCTGGAAGGGGTTTTTAGCGCGTTCAAAGGCTTTTGCGCGATTCTGAGAGCGTTTCCAGAATCGCGAATTCCAGAACTACTCCGAGTGGTTCTTGAAGTTTCGTGGCGCGTGACAGAGGTTTCATAGAGAAGAGCACCGAGAATGGAAACGTGTGGAGTCCAGCAGAAACAACTCTCCTTGGAGAATCGTCAGTACCGAACTGGTTATGAGCCGCGATGCAGCAAGAAAAGAGGTCATACTCAACAGGGATATAACGTCTTTCTCCAAACAGACTCGAGAGGGTTTGCGAGTTGGGCTAGTAGCCGGGAGGTCGGAGGTTCGATCTCGGGATGTGACATGTGAAAATATATCGGGTGTGGACTGAAGAATCGACCACCACCACCTGGTACTCGCTAATGAGTGGACCGCTCAACAGTAACTACTAGTTACTGACTACTCTAAAGAGTAGTCAATCTAGCTCAGTAGGATAAGTTAGTAGATTGTCATCCGAGTGTCGCAGGTTCGATGCGCGGTTGCGAGGTGACGGAGTAGAGTAGAAGAGTAGTAGAGAGCTGGATCAAAGCTGTCAAAGCGGGAGACCAGAAAATCTGAGGCCGATTTCAGCTCCTACCCTAACGATTCATCTCAAACTTTCCTAAACGGCTCTATCAGTCCTATAAGTCCTATCAGTTTATAAGCCAACTCCTGGTCTATGGCAAAACGCTATAACGTCCGCGAATACCTCGTTCGAGAAGCCAACCACGTCACACCCGTCCCCGGGAGTCCGCTCCTTCTTTCCGAGCTTTCACTTTCTCGCTCGCCCACCGCTTCTGCGTGTTTTCACTGGCGTTGCTTTGGCTCTTCGTCCCCTCGCCTGCTCCAATCGCGCTGTAGTCGAGCCCGTCTGCGTCACATAATGCTCAGCTTCGTCGAATGAGTCGATTCGGATGCTCTGTGTGTCACTGCCAATCATACTTCTTCGGCCACTGCGAACCGTTCTACATTTCGGCCGGCGATTCACCCGCTTGTCTCATTCGTAGGTTATCAAAGTCATTTTCTTCACTTGTTAACTCCCTCCCTATTTTTCGTGTCCTGATGACTTTCACTCCAATTGGTCGAGCACCTCATGTTCATTCGCAATCTACTACTGATCCTTCTCCTTCTGCCTGTTTCATAGGAGCAAATTGCGCCTTAAACTTAAGTAACGCCTTAAGTATACCTTAAGTAATTAGGACATCCTATTTCACTACTTGAGTAAGCACGTTAAGACGCCTTAAGTTTAGGAATACTTGAGGCGCCTTAAGTTTCTGTGCATATACTTAAGCATTTACGGGAAGCATTTCACAACGTGCGTACTTGAGGAGCAACTTAAGTATTCCTCAAATTTTATTAAGGTAGAGCCGAGCCTACCTAAAGAGATACATGAGTACCGTGTTCGAATATTGCACCCCACAGGGGTTGAACCAGGGACCAATCGAAGGACGATGCTTGAATATTGTATCTCGCAGGGGTCGAACCGGAGACCTTTCGAATGGCAGCACGGTGCTCTCCCACTTGCCCAGAGAGGCAGAGAAATCGAGCCAAGGGTTCATTTCTTTGACGCAGCGAAATCCGAACCGAACTTCACAATATGGTCACCTTCAACTTGAAGGCTTTAAGAATCAGCCACTGCAAAACTTCGAAGAGGCAATGCTCGCTGCTTGTGAACAGGAGATGAGGATCTGGGTCAATCACAGTCATCTCGAATAACTCTGATTGACCCAGATCCTCCCTGGATGGTGTCGGGAACGCCCTTCGTAAGAGCTACGTTCGCGGATAGTTGCAGCGACTTAGTTATATTTCGGTGATTTGCGTCACCGTTGAGTTCACATAAGTATATTTTCCACTTAGCGGCGCTAAGTTAGCGGACCGTTGAGTGACTTATTCTAGGCAATAATTTTTAGCTAACATAGTAATTCGTGGGAATGTAGCTCCCCTCGCAGTCTCGTTACCAATGGTAACTTACCATTAATACCTTATCCATGATCGAGGAGAGTAGTTGCGAATTTCGCAATGCGAAACCGTAAACGACCACAGAAACAGCATACCTCAGATTCGAACCAGTGTCGACCATAGAGTGAATGCACAACCTAACCACTCGACCATTTACACCATAAAAACTTAAACGTAACTCTATTCTATACCCGTAACCATGGTTAAGTAGAGGGTGTATCCCAAGCCGTGAAAGCCCCTCCGACTCGAGAGTGTGGGATTGGAGAACCGGGGCGCCATTCAGCGAAGGCTGGATTTCCAAGTGTGCGCGAGATTGCCAATCAAGCAACGTTCAACGTTGCCACTAGTCTCAGACTAGTAGT